ATGTTTTTGCAAAAAAACCCAACCTGATTTTGTTTACATTCTTCAAGGTCGCTTTTGTACGTTTGGACGGGGTGGGAGCGATGCGTGGCTCCCGGATTCTCGCAGGCTCGTTCTCGCAGGCGCCTCTTGAACCCGACACCGTTCAGGCTCCCAGAGCCCCGAAATGCAGGGTTCATGACGGCCCTGCTAGAACCCCTCCCTTTATTTTAAAATCCCCCCCCCTCGCTTTGGATTCTGTTCTGAAATACCCAGGGGCAGCACAAGAAATCACATTTTTAGAGAAACAGTGTCAGGGCATGCCCCCCTTTCTCTTGCCAGCTCCCCTTCTAGCGAGGGCTTCTGCGGATTCCCGGTCCCTTTCTGCCAGCCGTTGGGAGGGTAGAGGACCAGCCCAGGACTGGGGGAGGAAGGAAGCGGCTATGCAGCACGCTGGCCGGGGGGCCCTGCTTGCTGGAATCTACAAGCACACACAAGGGCTACAAGCATGGATGGCTTCAAAAGGGAATTAGATAAGCATCTGGAGCAGAGGTCCATCAGTGGCTATTAACCACAAGGTATAGATAAGGGCTCTGGGGCAAGTGATGCTCTGTCTTCTTGGTGCTTGGGGGGGGGGCAACAGTGGGAGGGCTCCTAGTTTCCTGGCCCCACTGCTGGACCTCCTGATGGCCCCTGGTATTTCTGGCCACTGTGTGATACAGAGTGTTGGACTGGATGGGCCACTGGCCTGATCCAACACTGGCTTCTCTCATGTTCTTATGTCTGGGGCAAGGGATGCTCTGTATTCTTGGTGCTGGGGGGGGGGTGAACAGTGGGAGGGCTCCTAGTGTCCTGGCCCCACTGGTGGACCTCCTGACGGCACCTGGTATTTCTGGCCACTGTGTGACACAGAGTGTTGGACTGGATGGGCCTTTGGCCTGATCCAACATTGGCGTCTCTTATGTTCTTATGTTAATCCTTCAGGAGCTGTTTCCTCCTGCAAGCCCCCTCCCTGTTCACCACACCGCTTGCCGTCTGTCCCGGATGTAAACCGCCTTCTCTTCCGGACAGAGAGCTGCACTCTAACGATAGTTAAGAGAACAAAAGTGGCGCTGACCTGGACGTGGAGACCTCTGGACAAAAGGCGCAGCGTTTTTTAAGGCAGACAACGGCTGCTTAGTGACAGCGGAGCCCTGTTTTGCCACACACAAGAAACCCCCGTTTGCGTCGGCCTCGTGATCTGGAGCAAACCAGCCCGCTCCCGGCTTCTCCTCCGCGGGCCCCCCATTGCAAACAGTTCACAAAACAGGCGACGGCGGCCGCGGTGGAGGGGAAGCAGCAGCGACAGCGGCAGCTAAGCCCACGCACGGTCACCGTTTAAGCAGCTGACACCTGGCATGCGTTACCTGCTTAGCTGTCTCTTTCTGGCACAGCTCTAGCTGCTCCACCTGCAAGATGGGGGAAGGGGAGACCAAGGGAAGGCAGAGGTAAACACACCGTAGCTCCAAAGAAGCGGCAGAGGTGGGAAGAGGACTGCGCCTCAGTGGCCCCAGTTCAAACCCCGGCCTCTCCAGTTAATGGGAATGGGCAGGCGGGGATGGGAAAGACCTCTCTGGCTGGAGGCCCTGGAGAAAGAGCTGCTGCCTGTCTAAGTGGGCGACACTTTGAGGCCAAAGGGTCTGACTCGGCAGAAAGCAGCTGCAAGTGTTCTTCTAACTGTTAAGCCTAAGCCAGAGCTGAGGGTCTGTGTCTGAGGAACTTCCCTCCCCCTCTCAGGCTCTGCAGTGCCACAAGGGTCCGACTCAGCAGAAAGCAGCTGCAAGTGTTCTTCTAACAGTTAAGACTAAGCCAGGTCTGAGGGTCTGTGTCTGAGGAACTTCCCTCCCCCTCGCAGGCCCTGCAGTGCCACAAGGGTTCGACTCAGCAGAAAGCAGCTGCAAGTGTTCTTCTAACTTCAAGACTAAGCCAGGCTGAGGGCCTGTGTCTGAGGAGCTCCCCTCCCTCTCGCAGGCTCTGCAGTACCACAAGACACCAGAGCGGCGGGGTGTGTGTGTGTTCTATGGGCAGGGTTGCCAAGTGTATCTTTGCCGGGAGCGGGGGGCTCCCGGCTGGCGTCTTGTGCGCACGTGCGCGCCGCACGCACGTCACCCGGAAGTGACGGGAGGACGCCAGGCACGCTGCGGGCGGGGCGCCCCCAGCGTGCCCGGCGTGCCCGCACCACTTCCGGGTGACGCGCACGTCGGGGTGGAGTTCCGCCCGGGGCCCGATCCGGCGGCACCGGGGAACGGGCCACTGGAGCGGGGGTTTCCCCACCCCCCGGGGGGACTTGGGATCCCTATCTATGGGGTAGGGTAGGGATGATGGTACACATGCCATGAAAGGGAGCCAGACTGTTCTACTCAGGGGGCAGGGAGTAGCCATCCCGCATCCCAAGGCCTCCCCTCACCGGAGCTCTGGGAAACACCATCTATCTTCCCTGACCTTCAGCCACCCAGCTCTGTCCTCAAGAGGCCCCCTGGGGTGGACGGTAGCTGGGAGGGGACATACCAAAGGATGCCCTCAACAGCCTGCTTCCCGACAGATGGCCACATCAGGCCCGCAGAGAGACGTCCGGATCCGCTTGTCCGAACGGCCTCCGTTGCCCACCACTGCCTGGCTCGCTCGGAAGGGAAGGACCAGGCGGAGGGGGACCTTAACGGCGCCTGCTTTCCAGACTGGCACGTCTTTCACCTCCTCCCTCCCCCAAGACGCTCAGGGCACTGGCGTCCCTTTCCCCCACCCTCTGTTTTAGCCTCACAGTGACCCTGTGAGGCAGGTCTGGCTGAGAGTGTGGGACTGGTACGAGGTCACCTGCTGCTCAGCCCCGGTGTGGGACTGGTCCAAGGTCACCTGCTGCTCAGCAGCCACCTCCCCCCCCCCATGCCCTCTCCCTCCGTGCCCCACTGAGCCCCACAGAGCCGGGGAAAGGCCTTACCTGCACCAGCAGCTTCTGCCTGGCCTCCTCGTACTTGGCTGTCACCCCCTCCAGCTTCTTGTGGGCCTCCTCAGCCTCCTTCTTGCTGACGGCCACCAGCTTCTCCGCCTCCCGCCTGGCCTCCTCCAGCTCCTGGGCGTGCCTCTGCTTGGCCTGGGCCAGCTCCGCATCCAGGCGCTGCTGCCCGTGGCTGGCCTGCTCGGCCAGAGTTCGCTTCTCTTCGGCCAGCTGGGCGTGGGCCCGCTGCAGAGCAGTCAGGCTCTCCGCGTAGCCGGCGTTCTCCGTCTGCAGCTGCTGCACGCGGCGCTCCTGCTCGGGGACCCTCTCCTTCAGAGAAAGCAGTTCCGCCAGCTCCTGCTTGGTGCGGGCCAGCTCCGCCTGCAAAGCGCCGGTGTCCTTGGACAGCCGCTCCAGCTCCTCTTGGTGCCGGCTCTTCTGGGCCGCCTGCTCGGCCTGCAGCTGCTGGTAGAGGCCCTTGACGGGTGCCAGCTCCCCGATCGTGGCCTGGGCGCCGGTCAGCTCCTGCTGCAGGGCCACCAGGATTTGCTCCTTCTGGAAGGCCTTCTCCTGCAGGGCGCGGAACTCCTTGCGGAGGTCCTCCTCGCGCTTGGCCAGGGCGCTCAGCTCCTTCCTCTGGGCCTCCGAGGAGCCCTGCAGCTCCTCGGCCTGCTTCTGGTAGCCCTGGGCCTCGGCCTTCATGGTGGAGCACCGCTCGGCGGCCCGGGAGGCGGCCGTGGCCATCTCGGACTGCAGCAGCCGCAGCCGCTCCTCCAGCTTCTTGCTCTTCTCGGACTCGGCCACAGCCAGCCGCCGCATCTCCTTGCTCTCCGCCTCCTTCTCCAGCAGCTGCCGGCGCGTGAGGGACAGCTCCTTCTCCAGGCTGCCGAGGAGGCTGTTCTTCCGCTCCGCGTCCTGGAGGCAGCGGGACATCTGCTCCTTCCAGCTCTCCTCGGATTTCCCCTTCTCCTGGGCCAGAGCCCGTAGGGCCGCCAGCTCCTCCTCGGCCCTCGCCACGGCCTCTCTGCTCTGGACCAGCTCCTTCCCTTTCTCCAGGAGCTCCCTCTTCAGCTTCTCGGCGGCGCTGGCCTGCGTGGAGCGGGCAGCCGCCAGGAGCTTCTCCAGCTCCGCAGCCTTCTCCTTGTGCTGCGCCGCTTCCCGCTGCGAGGCCTCCGACTCGGCTGCCTGCCGCTGCTCCGAGGCCGCCGCCGCTTTCTCCAGCTTGGCAGCGGCGCCCCGCTGCTCCTCGCACTGCCGCTCGAGCTTCTCCACTCGGCCGTGGAGCGCCTCGCACTCCTTCTGCTTCTTTTCGCAGAGCTCCTGCCTGGAGGTGGCCTCCTGCTCCTGGCGCCGCTTCTCTTCCTCCAGGCTCTGGAGCTGCCGGTTCTTGGCCCCCAGGGTGGCTCTGAGGCTGTCCAGCTCCGCCTCCCGGGTCCTGGCCACCTCCAGGAAGCCCTGCAGCTCCCCCTCCATCTTGGCCGCCCGCTCCTTCAGTGCCTCCACCGAGGCCAGCTCGCCTTTCAGCTTCTGCACGGTCTTCTGCAGGTCCCGCAGCTCCTCGTCGCGGGAGACGTTCTTCACGCGCAGCTCCTCCAGCTCCCGCTCCTTCTCCTCCACCGCGCCCCGTGCCCGGGCCACTTCCTCCTGGAGCCCCGAGACCTCCACCCGCATCTCGTTCGTGACATTCTGCAGCTGCACTTCCAAGGCGGCCCGGCCCGCCTTCTCCGCGGACAGCTCTGCTTGGGCTCGCTCCTGCTCCCCCGCCAGCCGCCGGGCTTCCTCGTCCCGCGCGGCCAGCTCTCGCTTCTGCTGCGCCGTGGCTTCCTCCAGTTTCCCCTTCAAGGCCTTCACCTGGCTGGCCAGCTGCTCTGCCTCTTGCTCCTTTTCCTTGACGGCGGACTTGACGCTGGAGAGGCTGGCTTCTGCCGCAGCCAGGTCTTTGCGGCTCCGCTCCCTGAACTGCTGTGCCCTGGCCTCCAGCTCCACCCTGCCGTCTCTCTCGGCGGCCAGCTCTTTGGTGAGGGCTTCCAGGGCCAGCGCTGCCTTGCGCTCCTCCTCTTTCGCCTTCGCCATGCTCTGGGCCGCCTCCTGGCGAGCCGCCGCCGTTTTCTCCTGCAAAGAGGCCACCTCGGCCCGGAGCTTCTCCTCAGCCCCCTCCTTCTCCCGGGCCTGAGCCTGCAGCGTGGCTTGCGCTTCCTTGTGTTCGCTTTTCAGAAGCTTCAGCTGGGCTTCCGCCGTGGCCGCTTTCTCCTGCTCGGCCCGCAGCTGCTGGCGGGCCTGCTCCCGGTCTTGCTGCAGGGCCTGGATCCTCTCCTCCAGCTTGCCCTGCTGGCCTCTGTCTTCCGAGGAGAGCTCCCCCAGCTTCTGCACCTGCCCCTCCAGGGCCTGCCGCCTGGCCTTCTCCTCGCTCATTTCCCGCTGGGCCTGGTCGTGCTGCTTGGCCAGTTCCTGGAGCTGCTCCTCCAGCTCGGCGATCCGCCGGAGGTTGCCCTCCAGGGACTCCGCCGCCCTCCTCTTCTCGTCCTCCAGGATGCCCTCCGTGTTGCGGACCGACTCCTCCAGGACCAAGAGGCGCTCCTGCAGGCGGGCGTTCTCCTTGGCCACCTTCTCCCGCTCGGCCAGCTTCTGCTGGGCCTCCCGCAGCTGGCCTTTCAGAGCCGGCACCGCCCCCGCCTGGGCCTCGCTCTGCTGGCACTGGGCCGTGAGGGTCGCCACCCTGGCCTCCAGCTCCTGGACCTTCTGGCTGAGCTCTGATCTCTCCCTCTGGGCCTCTGCGGCGGAGGCAGCCCGGGCTTCCTCCAGAGTCTGTAGGCGACTAGCTAGAGCGGACCGCGCCGCTTCCGCCTCCTCCAGCTGCCTCCGCGCCAGCTCCAGCTCCTGGCCAGCCCTGCGGCACTCTTCCCGGCCTGCCGCTTCCGCCTGTGCCAGGGCTTCCTTGCTCTGCTGCAGGGAGCTATTCAGGTGGTCCACCTGGAGGCTCAGCTCTTGGACGGTGGCCCGGGATGCCTGCTCTTTCTGCTGCAGGTCCGCCAGCAGCCGCCCGTTCTGGCTTTTCTCCGCCTCGGCCTGCTGGTGCCAGGCCAGCAGCTCCTGGTCCTTCTGGTGAAGGAGGCCCGTCAGCTTGGCGATCTCTGCAGTCAGGGTGTCCATCTGGGCGGTCAAGCGCTCTTCCTGCGCCCGGGAGTCCTGCTCCAGTTTCTCCCTGGCCCGAGAGAGCTCGGAGACGGAACTCTGCAGGCTGCCGAGGAGGCCTGTGAGCTGGAGCTTCTCCTCCTCGAAGTTGCCCCGGTCGGTCTGGAGGGTGGCTTCCAGCAGGCGCTTCTCCTCTTCAACACGGGCCACGGTGGCCTGGAGCTCGGCCTGCTGGCCCTGGAGGCTGGCCACCTCTTGCTTCAGGTCTTCGAGCTGCTGGGACAAAGGGGACAGGACGGACTTCCGTTAGGACTGCTTCCCCTTCCCCTCCGCTATGTCCCCAAGGCCCCCCACCCCCCCTCACAGCCACTTTGCCTGCTGGGCAGTCTTCCGAACTGGGAATACGCTAGAAGCAAGGCTAGAGATGTGAAGGCCCGGAAAAAAAACGGAAAAATTCGGGAAAAAACCCAGGTTTTTTCCGTTTTTTTCCTGAAGCCTTTTTTGTTTTTTCCAAAAAATTGGAAAAATTGAAATAAAATAAAATAAAATAAATTGACTATGGAACGTTTAATATTTTCCAAATCATTTCTAAAATATATAATGGTATCAGATTGATCTAATTTCTGTGCACTGAGGACAAGCCAGTCCTAGGTTACAAACTGAACTCTCCAATGCAAGAACAAGATGCATTTCTTCCTTTAGGAGGTGCTATTGTCAGAAGAAAATAAAAAGGTTTCAGTTTTGTTTTTGCATGTGGGTGGGTATTCTGTTTGTAATAATTGTTTGGATACACTATATTTTTAATATGCTAGTTGTGATAATTTCATGCCAAGTAAAAATGTCCATAGTCATATTTTATGTTCCTAAAGTAACAGAATGACTTTCAATCTAGAAAAGACAAAAGAAATGCTAATGTAGCATTTTTTTCAATTTTTCCGAAAATTTCCGTTTTTTCCGAGCTTCAAAATTTCCGGAAATTTTACATCTCTAAGCAAGGCTCCCTCTAAGCTGTGGACTCTTGTCTGTCTCTGGTCAGAGAGTCTGTCTCTGTCTCCCGGGGCCGCCGTTTTGTGATCGTGCCGACGACCCGGAGTCGGAACTCCACCGGCGCCTGCAAGCTAGAGAGGGCTGAAGACCCCTGATCTAAACCCACAGGCCCCCGCCCCTTCCTACCTGCAGGACGTTCCCCATGACCTCTCCCGCCTCCGGGGAAGAGCTGCTCTCCTTCAGCTTCGCCAGCTGGTCCTCCAGCAAGGAGATCTTCCCCTGCAGGATCTCCAGCTTCTCTTCCAAGCATTTCTGGGGAAGAAAACAGAAGCCCTTCAGAGAAGAAAAAGGTCATGGCAAAAGGGGCGCCCGTTCCCCTCCAGCCTACCCCGCCCGAGATGCGAGAGGAGGAACCCCCGTGTCTCTCTCTCTCTCGTGTGCTGACCTTCTCGCTGAGGGCTTGGTGGAGGTCTTTCTCCAGGTGGCTCCTCCTCTCCTCCCAGTCCCGTAGGGCTGTGTTGTGTTCCGTGGAGAGCTCGTTCATGGCTTCCTGCAGTCCCATGAGGTTGCTGGCCAACTCCCGAAGCTGGCTCAAAAGAGAGGAGGGGAAGGGGAGGGACAGGTTTGGAGACTTTGGTATTAGCATTGACACACACACACCCGTCCCCAACACGGAAGGTGCGGTGGACGGGACCAAATCCTCAAAACTAACTTGGGTTAGTCTCTGGCAGCAAAAAAGAGCCAGAGTCCAGGAGCACCTTCAAGACTAACAAAATTTGTGGCAGAGGATGAGATGACTGAAGGAGCGAGCACTGACTAGAGATGTGAAGGCCCGGAAAAAAACCGGAAAAAATCGGGGAAAAACCCCAGGTTTTTCCCGTTTTTTTCCTGAAGCCTTTTTTGTTTTGTTTTTCCGAAAAATTGGAAAAATTGAAAATAAAATAAAATAAATTGACTATGGAACGTTTTATTTTAACATGATGAATAAAATATTTTAAGACAAGGTGTTCAGATATTTTCCAAATCATTTCTAAAAAATATGTATGGTATCAGATTGATCTAATTTCTGTGCACTGAGGACAAGCAAGTCCTAGGTTACAAACTGAACTCTCCAATGCAAGAACAAGATGCATTTCTTCCTTTAGGAGGTGCGATTGTCAGAAGAAAATAAAAAGGTTTCAGTTTTGTTTTTTCATGTGGGTGGGTATTCTGTTTGTAATAATTGTTTGGGTACACTATATTTTTAATATGCTAGTTGTGATAATTTCATGCCAAGTAAAAATGTCCATAGTCATTTTTATGTTCCTAAAGTAACAGAATGACTTTCAATCTAGAAAAGGCAAAAGAAATGCTAATGTAGCATTTTTTCAATTTTTCCGAAAATTTCCGTTTTTTCCCGAAAAAAACCCGGAAAAAAACCGGGTTTTTTTCCGAGCTTCAAGATTTCCGGAAATTTTACATCTCTAGCACTGACTCACGAAAGCTCCTCCCCTGCCACAAATGTGAGTCTTGGAAGCACTCCTGGACTCTTGCTCTTTTCTACTACTGCTACAGACAGACTGACAGGGCGACCCACTAAAGGTGACACCAGACCGCACCAGGCACTGATTATCTGGCAAGAGTAGCTAGGCTTTCTTGCGCACACATGAGGCAACTTAAGTTTTAAAAGGAAAGTATTTGTTTAAAACAATAATCAAGAGAGAGAAATACGAAATCCAGCACAGAAGGCTTCAGAGAGTACAACAAAAAAATAACAAACACTGACTCAACTACCTTTGTTCTATATCACAGTTTTCAGGAAGCATAGGTCATAAATCACAACGAGGCTTCACCCGCATACAGCAGTTCCCAGAATCTCCTAGGCTAAATTTTCCCCCCAGCTAAGGTGTCAAAATATACTCTTTTCCCTTTCAAATGTCAGCTGCTCCCACTTTACGGTCAAAACAGTTTTTCAAATAGAGTTAATTGGTAGGTCTGCCTGTCCTTAGAATCAACACCTTAACAATAACAAACTTAAAACAGCTGCACTGGGAAGAAGGCTAACATACTGATACACCACTTAACCCTTCATAGGCACTTTTGCTTCACAAGTGCCCCCGTGGAACCAGGCTCACGGCAAATTTGCACCTTAAAGGCAGGAAGAGGCCACACGGCCCCAGAGTCCCAACTCATTGGGTCTGTTTCTAAACACCTAACCCCGACAGAAATGCCACCCTGTTGTGCAACGGAACTTCACCATTTGCTGTAGTAGTTAAGTTTGGTGTAGAGCCAGTTTGGTGTCGTGGTTAATTGCGAGGACTCTAATCTGGGAGAACCAGGGGTTGATTCCCCACTCCACCACTCGCAGCTGCTGGATGACCCTGTGTCAAGCCATAGTTCTGACAAGAGCTGTTCTTGAAAAAGAGCAGTTTCTGTCAAGAGCTCTCTGAGCCCCGCCTACCTTGCAGGGTGTCTGTTCTGGGTGGGGAGGGGAAGGGAAAGGAGATTGTAAACCGCTCTGTAGTGAAGGGCGGGGCGTAAATCCAATCTCTTCTTCTTCTTCACTGAGATTACAACACAGTCCAAGGTGACTTGAATTCCCGTCCAAGAAGCCATGCTTCTATTCTAAAGGAGGAGGAGGGGATTGGATTTATACCCCACCCTTCACCCGGAGTCTCAGAGCGGTTTACAATCTCCTTTCCCTTCCCCCTCCCCACAACAGACACCCTGGGAGGTAGGTGGGGCTGAGAGAGCTCTTTCGAGAACTGCTCTTTCAAGGACAGCTCTTGTCAGAAAACTATGGCTTGCCCAAGGTCCTCCAGCAGTTGCAAGTGGAGGAGTGGGAAACCAAACCCAGTTCTCCCAGATTAGAGTCTGCGCACTTAACCACTACACCAAACTGGCTCTCTGAGAATTCATTGCACCAAACTGGCCAAGAACCCAGAAAGCTGGAGCGTTCCGCTACCTTGAAAGAGAGATCGCCATTCTCCTCCAAGAGCTGGTTGATTTTCCGGTCCATCTGGCCCCTTTCGGTTTTCAGGTCCTGACACTGCTTCAAGGTCTCTTGCAGACGTAAGAGGAGGCTGAGGGAGAAAGAAAGGCACTGCTCGAAACAGGAGCAAACCCCAGGCGAGGCAACGACGCTGGGATGTGACAGCAAAGAACAAAAACGGAACCTCGGGGCGTCTTAAAGACTAATACCTTTGAGAGGGCTACAGCCCACTTCCATTTGCTGCATGAAGCAAAACCTCAGACAGTGGAAAATAGAAAACACAAGGAAAGTTTTGATAAAGGTGAAAGGCGGATTGTGACGTTTCTATGCAAAGCTCAGACAATGATGACATGTAACGAAGGAAGAATGAGAAGAAGAGATTAGATTTATACCCTGCCCTTCACTACCCGAAGAAGTCTCAGAGCCGCTTACAAAATGCTTCCCCTTCCCCTCCCCACAACAGACACCCTGTGAGGTTGGTGGGGCTGAGAGAGCTCTTGACAGAAACTGCTCTTTTTCAAGAACAGCTCTTGTCAGAACTACGGCTTGTCCAAGGTCATCCAGCCAGGTGCGAGTGGAGGAGTGGGGAATCAAACCCGGTTCTCCCAGATTAGCGTCCGCACACTTAACCACGACACCAAACTGGAAGTAGTTACATGTCATTGATATTAATTGTGAACACTTTGGACCATTTTGATCCTTTAGCATTTATGGATAATCTACGTTTGTAGTGGTGTTTCTTTATTGGATTCATATATTTTGTTGGTGATGTTTTCAATATGTTATGATTACTGGTAATAATTTACATTTCATGCTTTGTTGTGATTTTATTACACAGTTGGTCTTCTGTTGGTGATTCTATACTGCGTATTTCCCTTGTTGTTGGTATCTTCTCGGTACGCAGCAGGGGTTACTGCGGGATTGGAGGGGGAGGAATTTGTGTATTTCCTGCATTGTGCAGGGGTTTGGACTAGATGACCCTGGAGGTCCCTTCCCACTCTATGATGATTCTATAAATGAATAAAATAGAAAGAAGGCATGGTGAATGGGAGCAGGAAGACAAGAGTGTGTGTATGGGGGGCGGGGGGGGGGCTTGCTGAGAGATCAGTAGCAAAATACCTTTCATTCTTTTCCTGGAGCTCCTCCATCTCCTTGGGCTCCATCTGATCAGCCGCTTGCCTCTCTAGCTGACGGGTCAGGCGGTCAATCCGTTGCGTCATCACCAGGATCTTCGTATCTGGAGCAGAAGAGTTACAGAGAGACACGCGAGTTAGAATCATAGAATGTTAAGAGTTGGAAGGGACCTTGCAGGTCATCTTGTCCAACCCCCTGCACTCTGCAGGAGCACAGCCGAAAGAGAGCCCTACAACACACCCCACCTGCCTCCCAGGGTGTCTGTTGTGGGGAGGGGAGGGGAAGGGAAAGGAGTTTGTCAGCCGCTCTGAGACTTCTTTGGGGAGTGAAGGGCGGGGTATAAATCCAATCTCCTCTTCTTCTTCAGGTAGATATTGAGAGCCAGTTTGGTGTAGTGGTTAAGTGCGTGGACTCTAATCTGGGAGAACTGGGTTTGATTCCCCACTCCTCCACTCGCAGTTGCTGGATGACCTTGGGCAAGCCGTAGTTCTGACAAGAGCTGTCCTTGAAAAAGAGCCGTTTCTGTCAAGAGCTCTCTCAGCCCCACCCACCGCACAGGGTGTCTGTTGTGGGGAGGGGAAGGGAAAGGCGTTTGTGAGCCACTCTCAGACTCTGAGCGAAGGGCGGGGTATAAATCCAATCTCTTCTTCTTCTTCTGTTGTCGTCTTCCCAGCATGCCATTCTGACAGTGCAACCCAGCACTCCCTGAACACAGGCATGGCCGTCTCTTCGGAATGGTCAATGACCCAAGGACACGGAGTGAGCACACCAGGCATGCCCCAATTTTTTATTGGGAAGGGGGGGGGGGACTCACCTTTCTCGTCAATGAGCTTGCGATTCTCGGCCAACTCGCGCTCAAGATCGTCCCGATTCTCCCTTTCGGCCTCCAGTTGCTTCTTCAGCCTCCTCATCTGAAACTGGGGGGTCTGCATGATGTCGCCCATGGGGGAGGTAGAGGAGCCGGGGAGAAACCTGCAAAGGGACGTCAGCCAGACGCATGTTAAGAGACATGGGGGGGGGGGGACAACCAGGGAGAATAATATAACAGAAGAGCATATGAAGAGTCCTGCTGGAGCAGACCAGTGGTCTCTCCCTTGCTCGAAAGCCAGTCGAATCAGACTCTAGGGTTGCGGTGCTCATCTCCGGTTCAAAGCCGAAGAGCCAGCGCTGTCCGAAGACGTTTCCGTGGTCATGTAGACGGCATGACTAAACACCAAGGCGCACGGAACGCTGTTACCTTCCCACCGAAGTGGTACCTCTTTATCTACTTGCAATCTCTTGCTTTCGAACTGCTAGGTTGGCAGGAGCTGGAACTAGAGACGGGAGCTCACTCTGTCATGCGGCACACTCGGGTCTCGAACTGCTGAACTACTGACCTTCCACAGCCTGCAGTTCAGCGCCTTAACCACTTGAGCCACCCCAGCTATCAGGAGCAATTATTCAATACACAGAGCATCAATTCAGATTTGACAAACCCCGTTTAAAAAAAAAAATCCACAGCCTAGACAGGAGAGTGAAACCCCATTGCCAACTTGGCGGCCCAATGGCTTGAGAAACAGACCAGTCCTGCGGCTCTCCCAGAACACCATCAGGGATATGTTCCGACGTCACCCTCAACTCTCATGAAGCTGCTTTCTAGTGAATCAGGCCGTTGGTCCACCAGGGACAGTCCTCTCCAGCGCTCCCTCTAAGCTGTGGAGCCTTGTGAGCAGAAATTCTACTTTGTGAGCTACTGACATTAAAGTTGTGAGCGAGCGATTGGGCTCCTGCATAAATCGGTTTGCTCTGGAGCCCCATCCTTCCAGAGCTAAGACAAAAAATGTGTGAGCTGGAGGCTAAAAATCTGTGAGCTGGCTCACACTAACTCAGCTTAGAGGGAACGCTGGTCCTGTCTCCTCGGACTGGCAGCCGCTCTCCCAGATCTCAGGTGGAGGACGTCTTCCACTTAGGCTCATAGAATCACAGAATTGGAAGGGGCCATGCAGGCCATCTAGTCCAGGGGTGTCGAACTCATTTGTCACGAGGGCCGGATCTGACATAAATGAGACCTTGTAGGGCCGGGCCACGTGTGTCATAAAATGTAACGCCAGGTAGCGGAGATATAAACTTTATAAAGGACACAAACACAAAGGGTTGTTTCCCCCCCCCTTAAAATAAAAACATGCTTAAAACATTAGCACTGTTGCAATATTTGGTTTATTCAACAGTGTCCGATAACGGACACCCCTTGCTCTGAATTACTGCATCAAAATGTCTGTGCTGTTGCGATCTTGAGTGCGCTGCTCACGTGTGTATCTATAAGCTGCAAACCTATGGGAATGCAGAGCAGCAGAACTGGAAGAAGAAGCAGAAGACAGCCAGTTCCACTGCGGGCCTGATAGAAAGCCTCCTGGGGCCTCATCTGGCCCCCGGGCCACATGTTTGACACCTCTGATCTAGTCCAACCCCCTGCTCGATGCCGAATCAGCCTTGAGCATCCCTGACAAGGGTTTGTCCAGCCGCTGCTTGAAGACTGCAAGTGAAGGGAAGCTCACCACCACCTCCCTAGGCAGCTGTTCTATATTCCTCCCATGAAGAACGTGAGATCCACAGCAGTGCTGAACAGGGCTTTTGCAGCATTGCCCAAGGCTTCTGGGAACGGACTGTGGCTCGTGGATAGAGCCTCGGCTTGGCATACAGACGGTCCCAGGTTCGTTCCCCTACAACTCCAATGAGAAAGTTCATGGAGCAGGATGAGGAGGATCGGGGGCCTGGAGAGGCCCTATGACAAAAGGCTGAGGGACTTGGGAAGCTTCCGTCTGGAGAAGAGGAGATTGAGGGGGGAACGGGATGGCTCTCTTGAAGTATCTGAACGGCTGTCACATAGAGGAAGGCAGGGAGCTGTTCCTGTCGGCAGCAGAGGAGAGGACTTGCAAGAATGGGCTCAAATTAAAGGCAGGAAGGTTGGACCTTAGGGAAAACTTTTTGAAAGTCAAAGTTGTGCAACGGCGGTGTACAAAGCCAATCTCTTCTTCTGCTGCTGCTGTGTGACTGAAAGTAAGCTGCAGCAGTCATTTTGTCTCTGGGCTCACCAAGCTGTGTGTCAGAATTCCCAAGGGGCCCCCTGGCTCAAAAAGGCTGGGGGGGGACCCTGCTCTCGGACACGCGGACGCTCCTCGGTTGAGAGACGACCAACACTGAGCCGCCTTGGTGGGAGGGCAGGGTAAAAGTTTGATAAATAAATAAATAAACAGTTCCGCAGGGCCTGCAAGCAGTGTTCCCTCTAAGCTGAGTCAGTGTGAGCTAGCTCACAGTTTTTTAGCCTCTGGCTCACACAATTTTGCCTTCGCTCAGGAAGGAGGGCTAATTTATGCACTAGCCAAATCGCTCACTCACAACTTTAATACCAGTAGCTCATAAAGTAGAATTTTTGCTCACAAGTCTCCACAGCTTAGAGGGAGCATTGCCTGCAAGACGGAGCTCTTCCGCCAGGCTTTCGAGGAGGAGCCGCCACCGTCACTGTACCGCCATCACGTTGCCATCTCTGGCGATGCGAACTGGCCTTGGGAATTGGAGAACGGACATAGCGTAGACCGGTCAAGAAGAGACAGCAGTACCTCTGAAACATTGCACTGGAGTCCCCGTCTTGGATGATGTACTGTTGTGAGCACCGATTCTAAATGTATAATGTCATCTGATTGTTTTATCTGGTTTTAGTGTTATGTATGGCAACTGCCTCTTGTTAGCCACCCTGAGCCCATGTAGATGGGCGGGATAGAAGCCTAATAAATAAACAAACAAACACTCACTTATTGAGGCTGGAGGACGAGGCGATCTTCTGCAGCTTCAAGAAGTGCACCTCCTGCTTCTGTGGGGTCGTCTCCTCTGAGCTGGTGCTGGAGCCAGAGAAGCTCGCTGAGTGAGGCGCTGGAAGAAGGGAGCAGGCACGGAGGCCAAGTGAGTCCAAGGGGTCCAAAGACGCACGACTGCCACCCCCCCGGCCCACAAGAAGAGCAGATTCTCTAACAGGCGTCTCTCCCCACGACTAACACAGTTCGTCTCCTCTGGCGACCCAGAAATCCGCTGGTGCCACGGCGGACGCATCTGGGTGGCTGTCGGCAACGTCGCCCCTCAGTGTGCCAACAAACCTGCAGTCAAGGCAGCTGCAAGGACAAACTGCATGCGCGCTTCTACCAGGGATGGCGCGGACGCGGGCTCGACGGCATCCCCTGCATTTCAGTCAGGCATGCTCACCCGGCACTTACTTTTCTTTTGAAGAAAGCTCTCCAGGTTCTCACCGAGGCAATCTTCGTTGTACAGCATGAAGTTCAGGAACTTGGCCATCTCTGCCTGAGGGAGGGAGGGAGAGGGGCGACAAGAGCGTGAGCCGTTTGGGCTACTGACCGGGGACGGATCGCGAGAGGGGACGCGTGCAGGCTCCCCGTCCCGGCACCAACCTTTTCGAGCTGGCGGACGCCTTGACACAGTGGGGTGGGGTGCGGGCCCAAAACGGCTGCCACAGCGGACGTTCCAGTCCCTCAGTGACAGCGGCTGCCAGCACTCTGCACCGCCAATCAAATCTCCAACGGCCAATCAGAAGCCTGGCTGGGCAAAAGCCACACCTAGCCCCGCCCACATTCTTAAGGCACGTGGCGGGCACCGGGAAGGGTGTTTGCGGTTGCCAGGGCAACCTCATTTGGAATACTGTGTGCAGTTCTGGTCACCACACCTTAAAAAGGATATTGTAGCTTTGGAAAAAGTGCAGAGAGGGGCAACTCAAATGATAAAAGGGTTGGAAAACTTTCCCTATGAGGAAAGGTTAACGTGCTTACGGCTCTTTAGCTTGGAGAAATGATGGCTGAGGGGTGACATGATTGAGGTTTATAAGATTATGCATGGGAAAGAGCAGGTAGAGAAAGAGGTACTTTTCTCCCTCTCTCACAAGACAAGAACTCCTTGTGGGCACTCCATGAAATTACTGAGCGGTCGGGTTAGAACGGATAAAAGGAAGTACTTCTTCACCCAAAGAGTGATTCACACATGGAATTCACTGCTACAGGAGATGGTGGCGGCTACAAGCATGGACGGCTTCAAAAGGGAATTAGATAGGCATATGGAGCAGAGGTCCATCAGTGGCTATCAGCCACAAGGTATAAATAGGGACTCTGGG